TTATCACTGGAGTTCATTATTGTTTCGTCTCTTGTTTTCTCCGACTGTATCCAACAGCCATGCGTACGCCAAAACCAGTGATAACAATTATCAAGGTGGTACGGTACTACTAAACAGATAATAAAGGATTATCAAAGTACAAAACCCAACAATGGATACACCGAGTCCAGAGCGAAGGGAGCCGGCCAAATCGCCGGACCCTATACAAGGGAACAACGCAAGTTCAACAATAACGCCACGCAGGGCAAAACTAGTCTTGGGAAAGCTTGTGTGTCTTAGTGGGAAAGGGGGCGTGGCTCTGGTTTTATATGATTTCAGGAGGCCATTCGTATGGCCTCGGGATTGGTCTGACAACACCAGCGCGAAGGGGGGGGAGTTGACGCGAACAGAGACCATACTGTGCTCGCAGGTGGGAGGAAGGAATTGCAAGCGTTTGAGGACAGCTGTAATCGAACCAGAGGGGTAGGGGAAGACAATAGCAAGCAGCTCTTGAAAAAGTCGTCTCTTGATGAAGTGGGGAGGAAGCATTGTGTAAAAAGGGTGATTAAAAGGCAAGAGATGAGGCCAGTATTCAAGTATCACTTGAGTGGTACGTGGCTGGGGGACTAGCTTTAACACCACTGTGCATTCAGTTGTAAACAAAGGGGGTCTTGGAGGAAGGGGACTTGGATACGCAGGTCAGAGGAAGGGGGGAACAGCCTTTCGTAAGAGATAGGCAATTTTAGTGGGGTCTGGAAGGGAGTCAATGAAAATGGACGTGGACAATTTCTAATTTTTTCAGCTCGAAAGGACAATTATAGCAATGCACATATTATTCATACTTTATGTACATGCGTAGGATTCATAAATGATCTAAGGGAAAGTAGGCCCCAGTTTATCATACATACAGTATGGCAAGTGCTGCAAGCAAAATGCCGCAATTTGCGAAAGGCTGGTAATCACTTACAAACCAACATAAAGTACGGTTGCAATACTGATCATCATGCAGTCTAATCTCAAGCCTTTTCGGTCACGTCAGGATGGGAGCTTTTTCATGAGCTTTTTTCTGACCGGTTATAAAAAGTAGATTCTGTAAAAAATGGCTACTTAAATAATATGCATTTTTATCATGGATTTTGACTGCCTTTATAAATTCAAACGTAATTTCTAAAAAGCATGCACCAAAATATTTCTCCTTGTACTCGTTTAGTCGTGCATTACGCCTTTTTAAAGCTTTTTACTCAAAGAAAGTGTATCCTTCGGTTTTAGAAAAACATTCGACAACACTAGATTATGTAGCCCCCCTCATATACCCCTTGTCGCAGCATGTTCTACGAAAACGGTGGGTACAGGGTTTTATTGGTGGGGAATTAGGGTACGCAGTGGAATATACTTTAGTAATTGCCATATGCCTTTTTATTTTATTGTATTTAGAAGTGTTGTTGATTTATATCTGTAGCTTTTCCTTATCTGTATTACCGTTTAACGTATTGCGGGAAAACCCGGTTATCAAATTGCAGGTTTCTTGAAATTCGCTAAAAATTGAAATGATGGTTAGGAAGTCGTCTACTTCAACCTACCTGAGGTCCAACTTAGCGTTCTGGAGTAACCTTAGTTTAGTCCGCGGCAAGATGCGCCGCGCACACCTTCAGTGTACATGCAATACATCTTACTATTCGGGGCCGCGGGAAACAACTTCGACTACACTTTTTTCACTGTACACCTACTTCTAAAAATTTCCTTTTCTGGATATCCTATTTCCGCACCCCCAAACCTTATAACCACCGTTTTCGTAGGACAAAATGCTGGGGCTAGGTGTATATGAGGGGGGCTACATAAGCTACTTTTGCCAAAATTTACAATTATGAGAATTTTTACGAATGTAAGGCGTTCATTCATAATGCATTGTATCCGTCAATTTATTAATACTGCCCATAATGCATACGGAATGATCCAGATCTATTACAAAATTTTATGACAACTGCGCGACTTCTTCAAGCTGTAGGCAAAAAAGTTTTTTCCTTAAACAGAATGTACAGAGCATGCTGTTTGGAAAACTTGAATTCAGGTGTAGCAGTCTGTAAAATTCAAAGTTATTCAAGGATTCATAAACTTTTTTAAAACTGAAAAATACTTTTTCTTTAAGCATAAAGCAGGCTAATTTTCTATCAACTGAGTACAAGAGAGAATATTTTCGTCTATGTTTTCTATAAAATATATTTGAATTTATAAGGACAGCCAAAATCCATGATAAAAATTCATACTATTTAATTAACCATTTTTATAAGCAGTAAAAATAAGCTCATTAAAAGGCCGGCATCCTGACGTGACTGGAAAGACTTGAGATTAGACTGCAGGATAATCACTATTGCAACCGTAGTTTATCTTGATTTGTAAGTGATTACACGTCTTTCGCAGATTGCGGCCTTTTCCTTGCAGCGCTCGCCATACTGTAGAAGTTGGGTGCATGTTTCTCATTTACTTATTATAAATTTCACTGTAAGTACTGCACAGAAAGTGTAGAAGCAAGCAGAACAGCACGACAGTTGCCTGATTGGGTAAGTTAGATGTAATACATGTTTATATTCCAAATGTTATGTAAAATAGTAAGCCAATAATTAATGCAATGAATAATTTGTGCTCATCACTATAATTCCTAAGTCAGGTATTGGGAAGAGATGGTAGCTTGTAACTGAAGTAGGAAAAGTTTTGTTTGGCATTCTTAATTCTAAAGTTATAACTGGAAGCAGGAAGAGGACAGTTAAACGTCAAATTTAAAGATGCAGCAAAGCGGAACATACATTGGAGGTAATCAAGTCCGGCGAAGTTGTGCAGTACTGCCAGCACAGGGGACCGTTCTCTTATGTTTTTCAACGTCGCTACCG